AAGAAAGGGTGCTGGATTTTGTCAAAGGCCTTTTCTGCATCGATTGACAGGATCATATGGTTTTTCTCTTTTTTTTTGTTAATGTATTTTTCACTTTCCTAATGACTAATGATGCTGATCATCTTTTCATGTGCTTATTATCCATGTATCTTCTTTTTTTAATCTGTGAGTCTTCTTTGGTGGAGTATCTGTTCAAATATTTTGCCCATTTTTATTGGGCTCTTGTTGAATTTTGGGAGCTGTTTATATATTCTTATTATGAGCTTTGTTTACTGAATTTTGAGAGCTTGTAAAAAGCTCTCATGAGTCTTTTATCTACAACGAAAATGAGCAAATTATTGATACATGCAACAACATGGATAAATCTCAAAGTAATTATGCTTAGTGAAAGAAGCCAGGCAAAAAAGAGAATACATATTGTGATTTCCTTTAAATACTGGAAAATGCCAACGAATCAATAATGCTTGCTATGTTCTTTCTCCCTCTTTCTGTCTTTGTTTTTCTGCAGATAAATTCTCTTGACACCCAACCTTACTCAGAGACCTCTTTATCTTTCTCTGTAAATTCCAGTTTGAAGGGTCAATGTTAGAGATTGTATCCACTTTCGTATATTTTGAGGGTCTTAGAATTGAGCGAGATGGAGGAAACTCCACTGGGTAGTGGACAGCCTTTATGAGGGTGTGAAATCTGTTTTCTCTTCCCTCCCCTCCCCATGCCTCCTCTCTCTCTCTCTTTTTCTTTCTCCCTTCCTTTCCCCTTCCCTTCCCTTTCCTTTCATTAAGTCCTATGCTAGGTTTCACTCATCTAGTTAAGATGTGTCCTATTCCTAAAAGGGTTTCACTTGGGCTTGGGATAGTTCTCCCAATTCAGCATGGAACCCCAGAAAATGGTGAGCCTTAGGATTTTCCCTGCTCTGCTGAGACCTTAAATTCTGCTGCCATAGGCAAAACCATTTATTTTCAAGAGTTCTTTTTCAACCTTTACTGGGCTGCTAATGAGTATTAGTAATGATCTGCCAGCTGATCTTCTTTTCCTGGTACTGCTTCTGAGAGATGAAGGTGAGGTCAGAAACCACTCTGAGCCACATATGAATCTACAGTTTCTTTACTTGATCACTAATTTGCCATGTTTATGGACTTTTCTGGTTGCTATTGGTAGTTTTGCTTGCTTTTATTACTTCTTATTCATTTTGTTGAAGGAAGAATACTTTGTTTTTCAGATTCATTCCATCTTCTTTATCTGGAGAACTCAGGCTTCTTAGTGAAATGGGCTGGTGGGCAATTCTTTCTCAGGATATCAGAAACTGAATAAAAAGGGGTATATTTATTTTTTCCTCAAAAATATTTGTAAAAAGTGGGTCACATATAGAGTAAATAGTACTTACTAACTAAATTAGAGGCTAAACAGAAAAATAAACTGTAGACAATTTTACATCTCTGAGAAAGAACTGACAGGTACAGTAGTTTTCTAAAAACATCTTTTAAAAATCAAAGTTCGGCAAGAGAGGAAACATTCTTAACTACAAAGGAGGAAATGAGGAAGTCAGAACTTTTGGACAGAGCTTGGACTTGAAGGAAGGGGAAAATAAACCAGTCTTCTGGTTTTCAGTTTAATTTACAAATCTTCTCTTTAAGCAAAAAACAAAAACAAAAACAACAAAAACAAACAAAAACCAAAACCCCAAAAACAAACAAAAAAGCAACCACAGCAAAACAGGTACATGAGGAGATGATAGGAAGCAACTACTTTTACTTTCCTCTTTCTTTGGAGGAAATTATTTTTATTATTACAGTACGAATCCACCTTTGGAGAGAGTTCACTACAAGTATCCTGGCATGGGCTGCACAACCTTTTAGGGAGTATGCTGTGGAGAAGGACAGCTGTCGAGACTAGATTAAGGTTTTTCAAACTTCAATTAACAGAACCCTAAGAGGCCATGAGGCTTCTACAGTGAGGGAGGCACGGTGGGAGAGGAAAAGGGAGGTGGAGCTGTTGGTGCCTCAGGCCTCTACATGCTTCATTAAGACCAGGTTTGTTTTTACCGCTTAAATATTGGGATTCCATAAGACTTCACCTGGAAAAAAATTCCACTGCTAAAGAAAAGTTTGAAAACCACTGGACTGGATCAAAGATTCCTAAACCTGGCTGCTCAACAGAATTACTAAAAGAGCTTTTTCAAATTACAAATTCCTGGGCCATACCTCTAGACCTAGTGAAATAATAACTCCCCAAGGGATTCTTGTACTAGCCCACAGTGCTTGAGAGGCATTGACCCAGAGGACCCTTGCTTCCCTGAGAGTCTATGACAAAACAGAACATAAATGGGTAGGCAGGAACCTTGGACAAAAGAGCTGGTGGTAGCAGATGGAAGAAGAGAACATAGACCGCTAAATCACGAGACTCTAATGAAGAATAAAAACTTGGTAAACGAAGATCTTGCCTAGGACCAGAAGTTCCTGTGGAGGTTTAATTGCCTGGCAATGATTTCACAGCCTACTCTAACTGTCCATACTGGTAATGGCAGGCAAAGTAGTTTAATTCAGCAACTGTCCAAAAAAATATAATGTCAACCATAGGTGTAATTTAAAATTTTCTAGTAGCCATTTTTTAAAAAGCTAAAAGAGGGATGCCTGGGTGGTTTAGTCGGTTAAGTGTCTGACTTAATTTTGGCTCAGGTTGTGATCTCACGTTTCATGGGATCAAGTCCCATGTTGGGCTCTGTGCTGACAGCACGGAGCCTGCTTGGGATTCTCTCTCCTCCCCCCTTCTGCCCTCCCCATCCGCTACTCACACACATGTGCATGCACACACTCTCAAGATAAACAAACTTTAAAAAAAGCTAAAAGAAATAAAATTAATTTTACTAATATATTTTATTTAATTCAATATATCCAAAACAATATCATCTTAACATGTGGTTCAGTATAAAAAAATTTTAATGATATATTTTACCTCTTCTTTTTGTACTTTCTTTTATTTTAATGTTTATTTATTTATTTCGAGAGAAAGTGTACATGAGCAGGGGAGGGGCAGAGACAGAGAGAGAGACAGAGAGAGACAGAAAGACAGAGAGAGAAGCCCAAGCAGGCTCCACACTATCAGTGCAGAGCCCGATGTGAGGCTTGAACTCACAAACTATGAGATCATGACCTGAGCCAAAATCATGACTCAGATGCTTAACTGACTCAGACACACAGGTACCCCGTACTGTTTTTTTTTTCTTCAGCTAAGACAGCAGAAGAGATGATTTATTGTACACATGTTACATTCAGCCACAAATGAAAACAGAATTATTTCTGAAAGTCACGGGTCCAGGGCAAAGGACCAAAAGGAACTGTTTTGGTATAATAAACAAGGTGGGTCGCTCAAAGGTGGTCCTTGTGATCAGATGGTGATGGACATTCTAGACCCATTGAATCAAGTTCTAGAAATTGGTATGCAGTTCAACAATTTGTAACAGCATCCCCGCCTCTGTCTTTCCTTATTTCTGCTCCTGTGGCTTCCATGGGTTCACAAGCTAGTGGTTTCTTTGGACCTCTACCTCATCTTCTTTTACACTTCAGCCTGAACATTTGCTTTTTCCTCCTCATGGTGCAGAAGTTTCCAAAAAGATGGCACTAAGGCTGAGAGAGCCCATACTAAGTCTTCAAAATGTTACAGCACATATCATTTGAGACTAATTAGGTTTCAAGTGCTCAATAACCACATCTGGCTAGTGGCCACATATTGTATAGTGTGGAACTAATTAATAACTTTCAGTTAGTCATCTTGGATCAAAACTTCAGAGTCAAATGCTTTCTTTTCCTTTACTCTGCAAAAGCATCAAGTTCTATTTATTCTTCCTTTGAGATCTCTCTTTCATTGGTCCTTTCCTGCTTCTAGTTCTACCTGCTGATCTATCTAGTTAGTATACTGTTAACCAAATAAATATACAATAGTTAATAGCCTATGTATGCTGCCATTTCTCTTTAGTGGCTCTTGAATGCCTTCTACTTCAGCTGTGAATTCCAGAACTCACGCAATCCTGCTCCCACCCCCATACCTGCTCTATATCATCCCAGCCTTATCATTTATAAATCTTCTAAGAGTCCTTATTTTAGGAAAACTATCCTGTTCACAGTCTCCTGAATATGTCTTATACTTTTCAATCTCTGTGTTTTATGACTTTTTACACACCTAGAATGCCCTTATTCCAGCTTTAACTATCTAAGTCATTACTTCACAAATATTTATGTGTCAGGGACTGTTCTAGGTACTGGAGACAGAATAAATAATCCTGATCTCAATTTCTCCACTTAAAGAAAGCTTCCTTTATATATCAGTGATACATCAATAAAGCTGAAATTGGGGGGGAAAAAATCTTCCAGCGTCAAAGGAGAAGTGGTTTTGCACTACTGAGTTATTCTTAGAAGACATACAGTGTATATGCCTTATAAGAACACACTGGGCCCTTACAATCTGCTGCTATGTACTGCATGTATTTTTTTCCTAGAAATATCTATCCTTCCAAACAGAGGCTGGATTTCCTAAAAGCACAGACTAGAGTCATACCAGTGTGTTCTCCCTGCTCAGTAAGCAGCAGGTGGTGAATATACAGTTTGCTGACTGATAAGTACTCAGGACCAGAGGTGAGCAGGAAGGGTCTGCAAGAACACCAAAGCTGAGGAAAGTACTTGGGAAGTCATTTTTCCAATTCCATTTGTGAAGAAATTCAGAATTGGCAACACTTAAGTTAGGATGAGTTACCCTGCCTTTGGACCTTAACAACACGGATCAAGTTTAAAAATCCTTTCTTGGCACTAAATGAAAATAATACCACTGTTAATGTTTAACAGGCATATATATTAGACCTTGAAACATAACTCACCACATGTTGTGTTCAAAAACTTTGGCTGGGTCAGTTAAAATCCTTGATCCCAGAGGGGCCGCTGGGTGGTTACCACTTTGGTATCTATGTGGCACCTTTCTTATCCTTAGACAGGAAACAGAATTTCTCCAAATCACATTCATCCTAATCAGTACCTGTAAAGTTACAAATGATTAATGAGTCAATATGGATTACACAGTGTATTGTTTTATCTAAGAGCCAAAAACTATTCTAAAAGGTTTGGAATCTAAGACATGAAAACTGATCATTTTTAAATGAAAGATGGGTATGATAGCTTCTCTCCTGAAGTATTTTCAGGCCAAGAGAAGGAAAAACAATATTTAGGGTTGTACCATTGGCTGGTATTCTTCATAAGTCATAGCCTTGACCAACTTTGCTTTGTTTGGTATTTGTTTATTTAATTTTTAGCACACAGCCAAAGCATATCAGCCCAGAATATGAATTTTGTGTATTAAAAGGTTTTTTTAAGTGATTTTATTATTTTGTTTTGGGGATTCTAAGCAAACATATTTGTAGGGAATATTTCACAACCACTAGACCGAAAACCAAAGTATAGTAGTATCAGAATAAGAAAGCAAACCTACTAAATCTCCTTCCCTGGGCTGAGCTGAATAATATGAAATTTAGTCAAATAATAAGTAAATACTGTCGTAGTAGATGAGCCCAGTAATTCTTAATTATAACAACCCTGTATACATTTATTTGTAAGAATAGTCAGTAATACATTTGCAAAATAGATTTCCCTGTACAAAACATAAATCATAGCTCAAGAGGAGAATCATCAGTTGGTTAGTCAATTCCATCTCCATTTCTGGAAGAATAATTTTAACATTAAAGAGTATGCCATCTTAATTATGTACTGGCAAATATGTTGGCTTACAATCTTTACAGAAAAGTATCAGAAAGAAGCTGTGAAGAGCTTACTTTTTATAATAAAAATCCATTGTTCTACTGCTCAGCATTTCACCCCGACTCAGTTGTTCACCAAAACATTCAGCCTAATGCTGTAAGCTGCCAGATAGAAAGAGATGCTAAAAGGTGTGTGTACATAATACACATTAGAGACTATCTAAGGTACTATTATGTGTAAAAATGACGTGTATTATATACATCCTTTACCACCTTACTGAAAGGCAATGGATTTTGACTGTGATTTTCAAAATGAACTGCAGAATGTCAAAAACATCTCATTGTGCTTTTAAAATAAAATTCAAGATCTTCTTTTTGGAGGAAAAAGAAAGGCTTAGTTATACACCAAAAAGACTGTAATGGTTCCATTCAAATGTGACTAACAGTGATGAGAAATGAAACATTCAATACCTACTGCAGATCTCCTGTTTCTTGTTTGTTTTTCCTTCTCTGCTAAATGCAAGCTCTTTGGTGGAGGCAAATGAAATTAAATGCTCTGCCTACCACTACCTTTCCTCTGATGTGCCTTTGTTCTTTTCTCCTGCCTGTGTTCCATGTAAGACTAACAAAACCCTACCTGCACAATTATTTTTAGAGCTCTCTTTCTGCACTGAATATTATTCATAAAATCTGTATGCTGAAGAGTAGAAACTGATTACACCTAGAAAGAGAGGCAATTCATGCTCAAAAGTGTAAAATGATGTAAACGTTTTCCACCCAGGAAAGCCAAATCAAAATGAAATTTCAATCTTCAAATAATCATGTGATACTTATCTATATCTATCTATATAAAAGAGGAAGACGGGAAAAAAGATATGAGTTTCTCTCACTATAAATGATCAAGAATCTCTATAGGCAGCTGTTTAGGCGGCTTGTTTTTCTAATTAACTACATAAACATCTTTACCTCATTTATTTATTATCTGTAACAGTTACACACAGCCTTGTATTGCTCTTTATCTTTCTTATTATATAAATATGATACACTTACATAATACAACATAGAAAAATACATAATAAAATTATATAAATGCCTTAACCAAACTGCAAGCTTCTAAGGGCAGCACCAAGCTGCTCATGAATTAACTGTTTGACTGATAATACAAAAATGATCCTTGTCTGACATAAATTTCATAAGAAGGAAACACCTTCATATCTTCCGGGCTGGCTCCTAAGCAGCATACAGCATGGAAGAAGGACATGACAGAAGAATGTGGCAGTATACAGACAGCTATCCAGTTACATTGATTACAGTGATTTAAAAGGGTGTGTCTTATGTTATAACTATCATGTTAGCTTAATGTCTACTAGGTCTTGGTTTCATTTTGTGATGGGAAAAGAAAAGATGGGCAAGGTCAACCCCAGACAGAATTCCGGTACAGAAAGCTGTACATGCGTGTACATAACAGAGCTTCAAACTACATGAAACTGCATGAATAAGCAGTATTTTTTTTAATGTTTATTTATTTATTTTGAATGCGAGCAGGGGAGGGGCAGAGACAGAGAGTGTAAGAGAGAAATGAGAGAAATGCAAGCAGGCTCCGCGCTGTCAGCGTGGAGCCTGACAGGGGCTCGAACTTATAAACTGTGAGATCATAACCTGAGAGGAAATCAAGAGTGGGATGCTTAACTGACTGAGCTACCCAGGTGCCCCAAGTAGTATTTTTATTTGAAATAAGACAAAGAATAGCTAAAAATATTCCATTCACCCAAAAGAGGCAGGAAAGGAAGCACAGAGAAACTAAAAACAAAAGAGACAATTAGAAAACAAATACTAGGATGGCATAGTTATCTTTTTAAATTTATTTTTATTTATTTTTTTGTTTGAGAGAAAGAGAGAGCATGCAAATGGGGGACACAGGCAGAGGGCGACAGAGAATCTTAAGCAGGCTCCATGCTCAATGCAGAGCCTGATGCAGGGCTTGATCCCATGACCCCGGGATCATCACCTGAACTGAAATCAAGAGTGTTATGCTTAACCAACTAAGACACCCAGGCACCCCTAGGATGGCATATTTAAACCCAACTATATCAACAGTTACATTAAATGTAAATGGATTCCCATTAAAAGACATGGATTGTCAATTTGTATGAAAAAGCAAGACTCAACCACATATTGTCTATAAGAAAAGCACTTTCAATATAAAAATACAACTAAATTAAAATAAAAAGAGATACTGAGCAAATGCTGCATGAGAAAACTGGTGGAGCTATATTAATAGTGTTAAAAATAAAACCACAGGGGTGCCTGGGTGGCGCAGTCGGTTAAGCATCCGACTTCAGCCAGGTCACGATCTCGCGGTCCGTGAGTTCGAGCCCCGCGTCAGGCTCTGGGCTGATGGCTCAGAGCCTGGGGCCTGTTTCCGATTCTGTGTCTCCCTCTCTCTCTGCCCCTCCCCCGTTCATGCTCTGTCTCTCTCTGTCCCAAAAATAAATAAACATTGAAAAAAAAAATTTAAAAAAAAAAAAATAATAATAAAATAAAATAAAATAAAACCACAGACCCAAATGGCATCACTTAGGGTAAGGCCCCAAGTCAGTAAAATAAGACTTAATACCTAACCTAACTGTAGTTTTAACCCCCCAGAAATGTAACCTTTAATCAGTCAGCATGAGACTTTCCTTGTCAGCACTAGGGACTTTTATTGAGACACCCTTTCACTTCTCCTTAGGAGGGCAACCTTGCCTAAAACAATGGATTGTTTGCTAATAATTTCCTTTTCTGTTCCCTCTTTACCTTCAAAAACCTCTTCCTTTCTGTAGCCCTTCAGATCTCCTTTCTACCTGCTAGATGGTATGCTGCCTGATTTGTGAATTGGTTAATAAAGCCAACTGGATCTTTATAATTTATTCAGTTGAATTTTTGTTATTTAATAACAAAGTAGACTAACACACAAAAAAGAGTATTACAGATATAAAAAGGGACATTTAATAATGGTGAGCCAATTTATCAATACATACAATCCTAAATGTGCATGTACATAACAGCTTCAAAATACATGAAGCAAAAATGAACAAAACTTTTTAAAAGGATAAATTAACAAATTCACAGTAATTCTTCAAGATTTCGATACCCCTCTCCCAGTAATAAAAAGAACATTCAGAAACAAACTATCAAGAAATCAGTACGTATATGGAAGAATTAACATTATCAACTTGACCTAAATGACACATAGAAAGAACACTATACCTAATAACAGCTGAATGCACATTTTTTCTTTTTTTTTTTTCTTCCTTTCTTTTTTATTACAGTGTTTCCCCCCTTGCGGCTAATGATTTCCTCCTGCATGGAGTGCTCTTCCTCTTCCTCTTTGTCCTTTGCCCTATCTACTCTTGCGTCTTAATGGATCCCTTATAACCCTGTCCCACCTTCTCTACAGTGTCATCCTGGGCCAGCCCAATACACAGAGACATCTTCCTCTGACTGTTGGGGGATCTACCAGGCTACACCACTCAGGAGGCATTAACTTGTTAACTTTTTGTGTGTATTTGCATGATTTGACCATCTAGATTTTGATGTTTTAAGGATTCTGTTTTTATTTGTATTTTTTAAAGACTGATTATTATTTTTATTATTATAATGATTTTTAATTCAAATCCAAGTTAGTTAACAGATAGTGTAATAATAATTTCAGAATAGAATTTAGTGATTCATCGCTTACATATAACACCCAGTGCTCATCCCAACAAGTGTCCTCCTTAATGCCCCTCACCCCTTCCCAATACCCCTCAAGCAACCCTCAGTTTGTTCTCTATATTTAAGAGCCTTTTATGGTTTGTCTCCCTCTCTGTTTTTATATTATATTTGCTTCCCTTCCCCTATGTTCAACTATTTTTTTTTCCCAATGTTTATTTACTTCTGAGAGAAAGAGACAGAGACAGAGGAGTGAGCAGGGGAAGGGCAGAGAGAGGGAGACACAGAATCTGAAGCAGGCTCCCGGCTCTGAGCTGTCAGCACAGAGCCTGATGCGGGGCTCAAACTCACAGACCGTGAGATCATGACCTGAGCTGAAGTCGGACACTTAACCGGCTGAGCCACCCAGGCGCCCCATCTGTTTTGTTTCTTAAATTTTACATATGAGTGAAATCATGTATTTGTCTTTCTCTGATTGACTTATTTCACTTAGTGTAATACACTAGTTCTTTCCATGTTGTTGCAAATGGCAAGATTTCATTATTTTTGATCACCAAGTAATATTACATCATAAATATATACCTCATCTTCT